AGAGGTATGTAGAAAGAGCTGTTCTTTATTGAATGGCTTACAATAGAAAAAAACAAAGTAGGACCCATCAAGAGGAAAATGTCTAAGAATGCTGGTATGTCTATACTGTGCATACAAGTAAGAGAAACAAGGTATGTCCACGTAATATGGCTAGTTCTCAAGAATTAACACTGACTGGCAACAAAAATATTCAGAACAATACATATGGATTTAAACCACTAATATTAAGGAATACAAAACAGTGTTACATAGCACTCTAGAGTTTCTATGAATACATACATGCATAAACACACACACACACACATTGAGTAGAGTTTACCCCTAGAAAGAGTTCAGTTGAGACAGAAATAGGAGTGGTCAAAAAGAGCTTTGGCTTCCTCTGACAAGTTGAGGTTTTTATCCCCAGAAATTCTGTCCGGCTATTTTTCAAACATGCTTTATCTCTTTTTTTTAATAGCATAATATTTTTTCTCATGTTTTAGTATTATAACTCTATCTACTTTTTCTATAATCTTAAATTCTGGACAATCTAATCCTACTGTTCCTTAGTTGACTCTCAGTCTTGGGGGATACTTCATTGTATTTTATATTTCTGTCTTGTGAGCGAGTCCTCAGTACAGACTCCATAGCCAGAGTGGGCAATGTGTCCTTCCATAAATGTTTTTTTTTTTTTTGCTTTCCTGCTAATTAACACTTGCCAGACTCATGTTTGTGTTATCTCTCAGCTTACAGGCTTCTGTATAATGCAGGTAGTAATGTAAATTTGCAATCTAAGTGTCACTGAGGACAGGTCTTTGACTTTGAGTACTCAGGGGAGTCAGTTTTTGATTCAGAACAAGGTTAAAACCCAGAAACCAATTTATCATTGCTTGGTGCTGATCCACTGTTGTTACCCACCCCTCCCCACCTCCCAGGTCAAACCTTTTTCACTGTATTTATAGTCTTCTGGGGGTTATCAGTTCCAGCTTTCTGGAAAGATCACCTTTCTGGGGATTTTCAGTTCCATTTCCCCTCCTTGCTTAGATTCAAGGCCTTGTTCTTACATCTGTGGCTTTTAGTACTCAAATGCCCTATCAACAAACACAAGGAAAACTAACATAACTTTATTTCACAGGCTTGATGCCTGGTCACCAGTTTTGGTCAGCAGAAATGGTCTTTATTTGTTGTGTACTTAGCTAAGTATTTAAAAGAATGTTTGCAGTATTTTAAATTTTCTAGGTGTGGTAGGGGGATTTTCAGATTCTCTAATTTACTATATTACTGAAAATAAATTGTTAATATTTTTAAACATCAACTCACTTTTACTTATGAATTAAAAATGCTAAATACATATCAGAGAAACAGAAATAATACTTCTCTGTATGTGCCTTACTGAGGATGTAGCTTTTGACTTATTCTCAAAGACTGGGAAGATTTTGAATGTACACAGCAGACAAGGGAAGGGATAGGATTATAACTGACCAGGTTCCCTATCCCACTTATGCTAGGAAGTCCCATGCCTGCTACTTAGCACCCTCATCTAAATTTATGGTGAGATTCTTTGTTCAATGTTTACAACCAGTGATTTTTTTTTTTTTTGACAGAGAGAGAGAGTACGCATGCATGAATGAGGGAGCAGAGGGAGAAGGAGAGAATCTTAAGCAGGCTTCACGCCTAGCATGGAGCCTGACTCAGGACCCTGAGATCATGACATGAGCCAAAATCAAAAGTCGGACACTCAACTGACTGAACCACTCAGGTGCCCCAACAACCACATGATTATTAAATCATTTGTTTTCTCATGTTGAGAGGATGAGGAACTGCTACACAGCTATTCTTTATGTATAGAGCAGTGCTTCTCAACTGGGTATATTTTTGCCTCCCCAAATGACATGTGAGCGGCAATATGTGGAGAGGTTCTCCATTGTCACAAGTTGGGAAGAGCTACTCAAATCTAACCAAGGATGCTACTAACCATTCTCCAGTGTCCCCGAATAGCCCTACTGCACCCAGAACAAAGAATTATCCAGCTCAAAAGAACAGTATTTCTGCTATCGAGAAACCAAAGTGAAAAAAGTTGTTTGCAGCTACTGCCATTTGTATCACTATGGAGGATCTCTCTTTCATTTCTTTCTCTTACTCACTATGAATGTTAGTATTCGCTTTTTTTTCCCCACTCTGTGCTTCACCAGTTTTCTCATGAGGTATGATGATGATGGCAGTCTGCCTCTGAGAAACATCAACACATTTGAGCCTCCTTGGCGTCATTCTAGGGTCTTCTCTGCTACAAAGTGTCTGAGCAGCCAAATATAAGGAACTCACTATTCTTTTTCTTTTAAAACTAAAAAGTCCACTTATTTTCCTCCCTTCTCAAACCACTAACCCTTTTTTCTCAATCTCATGGACCAGGTACCTGGCCCTGGAGTCTGAGAGGTCTTAACACTGACCTTTTGCCTGGCTGGCTCTAGGCAGCATGTCCACCTTTCCTGACCTTAACTAGTCTCCCTAAATTTCACTCCATACCTTTATCTGAATATCTTTTCTTTCGGTGACTGCTTTGCTTAACTCCATGTCTCACTAGAACCTTCCCATGCCAGCTGCTCACATTTCAACAAGGTAAATAAAATTTGTCACTGGGGAGAGCCTACCTCAACATTACCAGGATGGTCAAGAAAACTGCCTGCTGATGTTTTGATTTTAACCTCTTTGGTTAAACCATAACAAACTCCTATGTATCACCTGGGACCTTGGTCAGTTCACTTACTGTCTTTGAAGCTCCTTTTCCTCATCTGCAAATTGCAAATAGTAATAGTAACCACTGCACAGGGTTGTTATGAGCACTAAATAAAGTTATATTTAGAAATATATACACATCCTGTGTATATATTTCTAAAGTCAATCCCATTTGTTTGTTAAGTAAATAATTAGCAACACTTTAAAAACATAAAATAACTAAACAACCAGGCTTCCGTGAATCAAAGGTCATGTTTCCAATTCTCCCTCTGTTTCCCCAGTCTCTAGCTTCTTTGGTAAGTAAGCTGCTAAGAGGTGGGCCAATGTCATCATGCTGGTCTAAAATGTGCAAGTAATTTATTATATTTGAATCTCTCTACAAGAAACATTTTATCTCCAATTTCTAAAAGGGCCTGTGGGAAAGAGAAAATGGTAAAGACAACGTAGAAATGTAGGTGCAATTCAAAGTAAACAAAAATATGACAATATGAAAACATTCCATTCATAAAGTAGGTTAAAAATCCTAGTGATAGCAGTAAGAAGAAAGCCTATGGTTCCTCATAAGGATAGATGTATCTTCAGATTGGACTTTCATATTTCAATAAAGGCAGTTCCTAAGACAAACTTTTTGATGAAAAGGCAACCAGAACAACAACCTACATGAAAATGCAACCATTCACAGCTCAGAAATCCAGCTTTTCAAAATTAATGTCAAATCTTTTCTTTTGTCAAATAAAAAGAAATCCAGATTTATATAAAGAGATGTTATTCAAAAACTCTATTGGAATAAGGAAGATGCTCCAAAATTCAGATCTGTCTGATAGCATCTCAAAATCAAACAGAACATGCTTTCCTTTTATAGAGAGGGGTTGGCAGGCTAGCAGGAACTTTTGAGAGGAAATGGGGCAAATGAGTGGTGGGAAGCAGGAAGCATGATCAGGCCATGGTGAGGCATTAGTGGTTGCTCATACTTGGGGTAAATGAGAGTGCAGGGGCCTGGGAGGATGAAAAGCCTGACTAATGTTTGATCAAGCTAAGGCAGACAACTGTGAATACTTGGTCTCTTCATAACAGCAAGAATACTGGTTTTAGTAGTAGTACTACAATAAAAGAGTAGTTGGGGATCCCTAGGTGGCGCAGCGGTTTAGCGTCTGCCTTTGGCCCAGGGCGCGATCCTGGAGACCCGGGATCGAATCCCACGTCGGGCTCCCGGTGCATGGAGCCTGCTTCTCCCTCTGCCTATGTCTCTGCCTCTCTCTCTCTGTGTGTGACTATCATAAATAAATTAAAAAAAAAAAAGAATTAAAAAAAATAAAAAATAAAAGAGTAGTTAGGATTTAAACCCTCCAAACAGGTTAAGTAAGTAAATAGCCTGATATCAACCAAAAAAGCCACTTCTTTGTCTCTTCCCGGACACTTAACCCTTTTTCCCCCAGGGTCATTACTAGGTAAGTAACGGGGGTGCTGCTGCAAACATCTACCTGGATAGTCAAAGGATTTGCAAACTTATGTTCTCATATGGATGTCTCTTAAAGAAATTTAATCTGACAGAGGAAATTGATAACTAGAACATGCAAAAAGAAAATAAATAAATACGGTAGGGGTGTTACAATTGGGGTTTGGGTTTCTTTTAAGATTGATTGATTGATTGATTTGACAGAGAAAAGCAGGTGAGCAGCAGGGAGGAGCAGAGAGAAAAGGAGAAGCTTGCTTAGCAGGGAGTCTGAAGCAGGACTCAAAGCAGGGCTCCATTGCAGGACTCCGGGATCATTACCTGAGTCAAAAGCAAATGCTTAACCGAATGAGCCACCCAGGTGCCCATTAATTACTTTTTACAATCAAGAATAAACTCCAAGTGTTGGAATAGAGACTGAGAACAAACAGTTGTACAAAGTCATAAAAAAATGTTAAGTCTTCCAGTGGGTACACGAATTCCTCCTTCAATGTAGAGAGATTTGAATGGATGCACCAGCAAGAAATGATGAAAACTTAAGAGGAGCTGCCAGTCGAAATGAACCCTGCCATCTTCTTAGGCTCCCCCTTCTAAAGAGTCCTTCTCAGGTTTCCCACATCTGACCAGCCGACCCCTCCCTGCATGCAGAGCACACTGCCCTCATTGCCATAGACTCCCACATGCTATGTTCTAATTATATGAGGTACTGGTGTGTTTCTCCCAGTACCCAGACCATGAGCAAGGATTAATATTTCATGAGGCAAAACACAATGACTTAATTAAAAATCAAAACTTTGGGGGGCATTGTATTATTTGAAAGGTGAAACACATTTACCAGTCAGTAATATATTAAGAGTCTCCAAGGAAGGGTTAAAATGTTTTGTCGTCGTTTCTTCTCGAATGGGTAAACTTGTAAAAGGTGACACTGTAAGGAAAAGAAAATGTTATCAAGATGAAAGGACTACAGGCTAGTTTGTAACAGCTAAAATGCCATATCGTATACTATTAATGAAAAATAATGTTTCCAGGAAGCTCTAAAAAACTAGATCTCATACATTCACAGATATTTAGAAATATACTGGGCTATTAAATGTGACCACATTTCCAACTTTTTCTATGTTCTTTTTTTATTTTTTTACTGAGAAAACCCTACTGATTTACATCAAATGGCTTAAAAAAAACACTTATTGTCTTATCCTACCATTTGTATTTTCTTTATAAAACATAAATGAAGACAGTGAAGAAGTAAATAAGAATGTCAGAAAGAAGACAGACATGAGGAGACAGAAGGAAGATGAACGAACAGACACAAAGAGACCATAATGAAGGACATAAAAAGAGGACAAAGAAGACAAAATGGATGCACAGTGAGTTTCTGCTGTTTGTTCTCCAGCTTCGGTGACAGACCAGGCAACCCTCCATCAAACTGACTTTTGGTCCTCCTTTGTCACTTCTCTCATCTTTTGAAAACTCTTTTTTTTTTAAGATTTTATTTATTTATTCACGAGAGACACAGAGAGAGAGAGAGAGAGAGGCAGAGACAGCGTCAGAGGAAGGAGCAGATTCCACGCAGGGAGCCCAATGCAGGACTTGATTCCAGGACTTTGGGATCACTGCCTGAGACAAAAGCAGATGCTTAACTGAATGAGCCACCCAGGTGCCCATTTATTACTTTTTACAATCAAGAATGAACTCCAAGTGTTGGAATAGAAACTGAGACCAAGCGTTGTACAAAGTCATAAAAAAAAATGTTAAACAAAAAAAAGCAGTTTAAACATGACTTTGGTATCAGATGGGTGATGGGGGAAGCATATCTTTCATTCATATGAGAAAGAGAGAAACAGTTCTTAGACCAAGGACAGTTAAAGATGGAAAAATAACTGGATAAATCATGCTATTGACTCTGATAAGTTTACAATATTTTATATTCTAATTATACCTTTAACACTGTTACTAAAAGAGACAACTATTTTACTCATGCTTTACTTATGTTTCCATAGCACTGTCATTGACTCATTTGATAGCATCTTTAATTTCCCTGCACAAAGGTCTTCCAGTGTGTACACGAACTCCCCCTTCAATGCAGAGAGATTTGAATGGATGCACCAGCAAGAAATGATGAAAACTTAAGAGGAGCTGCCAATCGAAATGAACCTTCCCATCTTCTTAGGCTCCCCCTTCTAAAGAGTCCTTCTCAGGCTTCCCACATCTGACCAGCCGACCCCTCCCTGCATGCAGAACACACTGCCCTCATTGCAGTAGACACCCACATACTATGTTCTAATTATATGAGGTACTGGTGTGTTTCTCCCAGTTCCCAGACCATGAGCAAGGATTAATATTTCATGAGGCAAAACACAATGGCTAATTAAAAATCAAAACTTAAAAAAAAAAATCAAAAGTTATGGGGGAATTGTATTATTTTAAAGGTGAGACACATTTACCAGTCAATGATATGTTAGGAGTCTCCAAGGAAGAGTTAAAATGTTTTGTCGTCGTTTCTTCTCGGATGGGTAAACTTGTAAAAGGTGACACTGTAAGGAAAAGAAAATGTTATCAAGATGAAAGGACTACAAGCTAGTTTGTAACAGCTAAAATGCCATATCGTATACTATTAATGAAAAATAATGTTTCCAGGAAGCTCTAAAAAACTAGATCTCATACATTCACAGATATTTAGAAATATACTGGGCTATTAAATGTGACCACATTTCCAACTTTTTCTATGTTTTTTTTTTTTTTTTTTTTTTTTTTACTGAGAAAACCCTACTGATTTACATCAAATGGCTTAAAAAAACATTTATTGTCTTATCCTACCATTTGTAGTTTCTTTATAAAACATAAATGAAGACAGTGAAGAAGTAAATAAGAATGTCAGAAAGAAGACAGACATGAGGAAACAGAAGGAAGTTGAATGAACAAAGAGAGACAGAGAGACCATAATGAAGGACATAAAAAGAGGACAAAGAAGACAAAATGGATGCACAGTGAGTTTCTGCTGTTTGTTCTCCAGCTTCAGTTACAGACCAGGCAACCCTCCATCAAACTGACTTTTGGTTCTCCTCTGTCACTTCTCTCATCTTTTGAAAACTCTTTTTTTTTTAAAGATTTTATTTATTTATTCATGAGAGACACAGAGAGAGAGAGAGAGGCAGAGACAGCGTCAGACGGAGAAGCAGGCTCCATGCAGGGAGCCCAATGCAGGACTTGATTCCAGGACTTTGGGATCACTGCCTGAGACAAAAGCAGATGCTTAACTGAATGAGCCACCCAGGTGCCCATTAATTACTTTTTACAATCAAGAATGAACTCCAAGTGTTGGAATAGAAACTGAGAGCAAGCAGTTGTACAAAGTCATAAAAATAATGTTCAACAACAACAAAAAAAAGGCAATGCAAACATGACTTTGGTATCAGATGGGTGATGGGGGAAGCATATCTTTCATTCATATGAGAAAGAGAGAAACAGCTCTTAGACCCAAGGACAGTTAAAGATGGAAAAATAACTGGATAAATCATGTTATTGACTCAGATGAGTTTACAATATTTTATATTCTAATTATACATTTAACATTGTTACTAAAAGAGACAACTATTTTACTCATGCTTTACTTATGTTTCCATAGCACTGTCATTGACTCATTTGATAGCATCTTTAATTTCCTGCACAAAGGTCTTCCAGTGTGTACACGAACTCCCCCTTCAATGCAGAGAGATTTGAATGGATGCACCAGCAAGAAATGATGAAAACTTAAGAGGAGCTGCCAATCGAAATGAACCTTCCCATCTTCTTAGGCTCCCCTTCTAAAGAGTCCTTCTCAGGCTTCCCACATCTGACCAGCCGACCCCTCCCTGCATGCAGAACACACTGCCCTCATTGCAGTAGACACCCACATACTATGTTCTAATTATATGAGGTACTGGTGTGTTTCTCCCAGTTCCCAGACCATGAGCAAGGATTAATATTTCATGAGGCAAAACACAATGGCTAATTAAAAATCAAAACTTAAAAAAAAATCAAAACTTTTGGGGGCATTGTATTATTTTAAAGGTGAGACACATTTACCAGTCAATGATATGTTAGGAGTCTCCAAGGAAGAGTTAAAATGTTTTGTCGTCGTTTCTTCTCGGATGGGTAAACTTGTAAAAGGTGACACTGTAAGGAAAAGAAAATGTTATCAAGATGAAAGGACTACAAGCTAGTTTGTAACAGCTAAAATGCCATATCGTATACTATTAATGAAAAATAATGTTTCCAGGAAGCTCTAAAAAACTAGATCTCATACATTCACAGATATTTAGAAATATACTGGGCTATTAAATGTGACCACATTTCCAACTTTTTCTATGTTTTTTTTTTTTTTTTTTTTTACTGAGAAAACCCTACTGATTTACATCAAATGGCTTAAAAAAACATTTATTGTCTTATCCTACCATTTGTAGTTTCTTTATAAAACATAAATGAAGACAGTGAAGAAGTAAATAAGAATGTCAGAAAGAAGACAGACATGAGGAAACAGAAGGAAGATGAATGAACAAAGAGAGACAGAGAGACCATAATGAAGGACATAAAAAGAGGACAAAGAAGACAAAATGGATGCACAGTGAGTTTCTGCTGTTTGTTCTCCAGCTTCAGTTACAGACCAGGCAACCCTCCATCAAACTGACTTTTGGTTCTCCTCTGTCACTTCCCTCATCTTTTGAAAACTCTTTTTTTTTTTTAAGATTTTATTTATTTATTCATGAGAGACACAGAGAGAGAGAGAGAGGCAGAGACAGCGTCAGAGGGAGAAGCAGGCTCCATGCAGGGAGCCCAATGCAGGACTTGATCCCAGGACCCTAGGATCATGCCTGAGCAGAAGGCAGACAACCTCTGAGCCACCCAGGCAAACCCTTACTGAAGAAAAAGGTTTCCACTTCTCATCTTACTCTCCTCAAAACTTTTTTTTTTTTTTTTTTTGGTACATTGGCTACTATAGAGCACACAGAACTTACCTCCCATAAAAACTACCCCAACCCTATCAAATAAGTCAGAAAAGAGGAAAAGGCTTCTGACTGTAGTCTTGGCTGCATTCTTATGAACTTTTCATTCAATTTATATTAAACCTGAGCCTTTTTTATTTCACTTTCTTAATACTCTGCTCAGAAACTTATTCCTAGTGCAAGATTAGATTTCCAGTTCTTTCTTATGTGTTTGAAAAGTATCATCAGTGATCACCTAAGCACAGCTTTTATAATACTGCCTAATAAAAAAATATACCTAGCAGAACCTCACTCTGCAATAAGCTGTATTCCAAAGGCTTGACCACTTCGAAGGCAACTCTGGAAGGTGGAGTTCACTTTCTCATAAAATAATTCTCTAATGAATTGATTATGTAAATCATACCACCCTCTGACAATGATTACATAGGAAAATATGCCCTGTTCTCACTGGCAATCAAGAATACAAAACATTTCTTCCACTGACATCTAATATTCATTCTTTCATATTCTTTGTGTGTGTCTCTCTCTCACACACACACATACACACATACACGTACACACAGCCAAAAAGGCACCTATCAGTACTCTTTTTCTGATGAAAAAAAAAAAACAAAAAAAAAACCTGTTTTTCCATTCTTGGCCACAGCTCACTCAGAGGTTGTATTTAAGAGGAAACATCTCAGGAAGATGAAAGCAGATGCTATTGGCTTTTGCATAGGAAGCCAGGAGGGTGTGGATGGGAAGGAATGAGCTGTTCTATATCTTCTGCTCTGTGACACTTGCAAAACATAAACTTTGATATCTTTGCTCCTTGCTAGGGACTTTCCTTTTCTTGGCCTCGCCTACTGCCGAGCTGAATATAATTGTGACACTCCATCCCTAAAACAATCTCATAATCATCTGAGATGGTCCAATATCATTTATTACTATTATTATTAGTAGTATTCAGACTATCAACAGCAATAAGAAAGTGACATAACCTGAGATAAGTATTTTATTCTTTCTTCTTATTTCATTTAAATAAGTGACTATGTAGAGCACTGGTACATGCTTGATGCTGGTAAGGAGTATGAAGCTGCATAAACTCGGTCCCAACAGGGCCACATGGATCATAATTATATCAATTTAGTCCCACAATCTGTAATTGAGAATCATTAAATTGCAGAGTCCATTCATAGTATTGACTATAAAACTAACCCATGTATTTTCCAAGCTGGCGGTGAGCTGCAGAGCCTGATTTACATCTGGAGTGGAATAGAGGTGGAGATAATGCCATCTAAATGAGCTCGGAGGCTGAGGTTATTTTGCCATTTCTCAATATCAGGATTGGATAGAAGAGCCTACTTGTGTTAGCACAAGAGAAGAGGTTTCTAGACTTGGCTTGAACAAATCTAAGCTTACAGAGCTAAAGGGATAGGAGGGAAAAGAAAATACAAGCTTCAAGAATAGGGAAGTTTGGGTAGTTCCAGAATATAGTAGCTGTTATGATCACTTCCCACTACCAGTCCAGATATTAAAAATACAGACATCCATAAACCAGCCACCTCTATACCCTAACTTCATATCCCCTCTAAAGCATTCATCTTGATCAGGCTCCAGATTCCATTGAACAAGTCCCATGTGCAAAAGAACATGTGTAACTCTTGTGATTTTTTTTTTTTTTGCCTTGAAAAAAGTCCCTGTAAGAGGCAATGTACACAGAAGTCTTGAGTGGAAAAAGGGCCATTTACAGAAGGTGTTAGAATAGTAAAAGTGAGAAGTTCTTTGTTTAGCCAAGGTATTTTTTTAATCAAAAAACTGAAAATGTAGACCTTTTTGCCTTCAGTAGGAGGACAACTGGCAGGAGGCTGATGCGGCTGAGATTTGTGTTTAAAGGAAACTGGCAGGAGAATCAGGCAGATGTGGTTTGAATACTTCGCCGAAAGGAATAGGCTAAGTCACAAAAAGAAACACTAAATGGAGAGGCAGGAATTTGGTAGCTTAATCTAGGTTCTGCGTCTGACTTGTTACCCGGGGTTTCATTTCATGGAGAAAAAAAGGAGGATCAAAAAAGTCTAATATTGAGTAGTGGTGCCAAGATCATAGCAAACATTCCTCAAGTTATCACGCTCACCCCTTTCTTAATCATTGCGGGAAGCTTTCCACTAGGCATTCTTTTACAGTTTGTGGCAAAAATGCCACATAAAAGAGTAACATCTAATAGTTTTTCTAAAGATGAAAGATTTCTCTCCTTCTGTGGGGGCAATGGGTCAGGAGGGTGTTGCATCAAAGAGATGAATAACAACCTAATTTTCACCTATTATTAGTTCATGTGAGATAGCAAAATGGTCTCTACTTAAGTATCTTTCACATATTACATTTTAAAACAGACATTGCTAGATGGGTTTATAATCTATCCTATTAATATTTTTAAAAGAAATAAACATGCTATAATTTATACATATAATTTATTTATGTAGCATTTTCACATCTTAAATTCTGATGCTCCATTTCAACTGAAATAAACTGAGAATTAAAAAAAGAGGATAAGTAACACTAAAACACTGCATTGGGTCTTGTGCTTTTCTCTAAATCAGAAAATAAGTTCAACCATACCTCTGGTTAATAATAAGCATTTTCTCTAAATCCTCCCAAATCTCTTTATTATATTTTACAATCTTGGAAGAGTCTGGACTTCATTTAAAGAAAGCTATAAGTAAAAGCTATTATTAGGATAAATATTCTCTTTTTTCTCTCCTCCATTAATGTATTGATTGTTATAGATGTTTATAATTAACATTATCTTTAATAAATCTTAATTTTAGCATTCTGATACACAGCATTATAAATGTACAGCACAATTACAAAAACACTATAACCTAAAAATGGATAATATATACTATTTACAAAACAAAGGTCTGGAATTCAGAATATATTTCCTCATGGAAGCAATGCTATATATAACCATGAGATCCTATGCCAAATTGTTAAAGCCATGATATGACTAAACTATAGCATTAAAGTATCTACTTACCAATATATTTAATAAACAGTGCTTTTAGAGTTCTACTTCTGGAATCTAGAAATACAGTATTCCTATCCCCTGTCTGTAATGGCAGTAGCAGAAAGAAGGGGAGAATAAGGTTATATTGATTCCCAGACACTATATTCCACAGAGAATTTGTCAAGAAAAGGTTTAAAGGTTTGACAAGAAAATAAATTCCTGATGGGGACATTTATAAGTTATATTTTCTAAGTCAGGGACAGATTAAAACAAACAAACAAACTGGAAGCTCATATTTTTTCTACATAGAATGAGAACCATTGGGCAAAAAGGCCATATTTAGGAGCACCCAGGTGGCTCAGTTGGTTACCCATCCAACTCTTGATCTCGGCTCAGTCATGATCTCAGGGTTATAAGATGGAGCCCTGTTCTGGGCTCCGCGATGGGCATGGAGCCTACTTAAAATCTCCCTCTGCCCTCTCCCTCTGCTCCTCCTCACTCCACTTGCACACAGGCATACACTCTGTCTCTTAAAGAAAAAAAAATTTTTTTAGACTAACATCAAAGAAAGAAAAGAAAAGAAAAGAAAAAGAAAGAAGAAAGAAAGAAAGAAAGAAAGAAAGAAAGAAAGACAAGACAGACAATTGTGGAACAATTAAAAAGCTTAAAAACAAGAACAATGTGCACTTTTACAAAGCCTTGTAAAACTTGGTCCTATTGAAATATAAACAAATTGATCTTTTCTTTTGAATAGAATTACTGCAATAAAATATATTTCTAGGGGCAGTATAAAACTCTTGTTTCAAACTACTTCAAAATAGTCACTAAGTCTTTTCTCTGTTCAGTGGTTCTCAGCTGGGGCTGACTTTTGCCCCCCACAGGACATTTAGCAAAGTCCGGAGACATTTGGATGTCACACCTTGGAGGAGGTTACTACTTGTATGGAATAGGTTACAACAGTTTCCTAGAACTGCAGTAACAAAGTACCGCAAATGTGGCTGCTTCAAACAACAGTTTATCCTCTTGTGGTTCGGGAGGCTGGAAACCTGAAATCAAAGTGTAGGGCTTTGCCCCCTCTGAAGGTTCCCAGTAAGTATCTATCCCTCCTTGCCTCTTCCTAGCTCTTGGTGGTTGCCAGCACAGCAGTCCTTTGCATTCTTTGGCATATAGCTGCAGCACTCCAGTCTTTC